TATAATGCTAGACAAGAGAATGCATATGATGATGACATTATAAAAAGTCTACTTGTTAGAGGAAAATCTTCTTCTGTACCAAATTTTATCCTGATTTCTTCAGGTGTATTGTAGTTATTCAGTAACAAATATGCAGACTCACAAACTTCTACATTTATGATATTATTAGTATGTAATATAATCGTGATCTTCGGATCTAGCCCAACTTATTGGTTTTCAGCCCAAATTCCTGATCAAGATCGGGTCGACATAGCCTTTCACTAGGGCAACCGCGCGACTGTGACTTTAGTGTAGGACGTTAAAATGTGTTTAATTATTATCTTTTTATATAAAAACTCGTGCGACTCAAACATGGTTTTTTCTTATAACAGCTGAGTCGTTCAGAATAACAGTTGGTGTGATTTGACATATAGGTACTATTTATATAGTTAATTTTCACATTGACTTACATTCAATGCGATCGTTGCATGTTCTAAGCTTCGCTAAGAGAAAACTAAACATCAACTAAAGAAACATTCTTGATTTAGGACCTAATAAAAGTAATGAACAGCGTACAAGTACTTAGGCGATTGGAGAAGTTTCTAAGCAAGTACTTGCGAAGCTTATCTTAATATTAAAACAAGTAATATTTACAAATATTACTTCCTAGCTGTCACCGCAGGTTCGTCTGTTTCTATAATAAAGCCTAGCCTATGTTACTCAATAGTACATCAGCTACCTACTAATAAAGTCCCGGCAAAATCAGTCCAGCCATTTCAGAGATTAGCTAGTACAGACAGACCGACAGACAGATAACACAACAATTGTAAATTAATTTGGTATGCCTATGTATCGTATGTATATTCATATGCATGTAGTTAAAAGCGATTATTTAAGTATTACAAACAGACATTCAAATTGTATTTATTTGTATTGATGTGGAACGTTTTTAATGAATTCTATTCCACGAATCAAACCTTTTCGTTTGATATCCACAATGAAGGTAATTATAGATAGAGTACTGTATTTTTTTTTAAGGGGGGAAAATCATTGAATGACTGCTCCCGCCTGGGTGAGGCGGGAGGGAGTGTCAGACTCTTACTGACTAAAAACCACCCCGTTCCTTCTCCTGCACGTCGAGCCGGAGCCCCGGTTACCCGTTAGGTTCTCCGCGACTCCGAGATGAAGTACTGTATGGTCATCAAGATTAATAGTGTACCAAGTATCAGTTCGTACTGTCATCAGGAAAGGGGTCAAAATTCCAATGACCAAAGACCAGAATAAACAGGCCAACCTAAAACCGTTTAAAGAGTATTGTAGCAAAACATAACTGTTGAATTCACAGTCCAACAAAGATAACTAAATAGACACAGCACAAAGAAACAAGTATAAAAGACACAGTGCTTACTTTTGTGCACGCAAAATTATTTTCACATGGCGAACCTTAACACGGCGAAGACGCACTGGGTAGTTGGAAGACGTGGAGTTGAAAATACATTGTGAGAGCGAGCGAGACGCATGAAGCGCGACGGTAGACTGCGTTCGCGCTGCCGGCAAATAACGGTCGCCATATTTAAGTCAAAAAAGAGTAACAAGATAATTAGGTAATGGTGCATTTTCTTTTGTAAAGTACGATTGTCTTTTTCGTTGGATTGGAATGACAGTAACGTTATTATTGTGTCAGACGTATTGTTATAGGCAAATTATCGGTCATTGATCTAAAGGTACGTTAATCGTCTTTAGACACTGCTTTTATCCATAATAACATATTGAGGTTCTGCCAACGGTTTCGGCCCGCGTTCCCTTGGGATAAGACGTACCCTAATCTATCCCTGGTCCAAATTTCATACCGATCCCTTCAGCTGTTTTGACGTGTAGGAGTAATCAACAAACATACAAACATGCGGGGTAATTTCGAATATTTTGATTAAAAAAAGGGAATTTACAATTAAAATATTAAATACCACCCTATAAGAATTATATGTTTCAGTCTAGGACATACCTATATATTTGTTATCACAAAATTCCACTAATGCCTAATACATTTACAATAGGAATATAAACGAAGTATCTAAAGCCACGTACGCCAGCTAAATGGCTTGATTTTGTACTAATAATACTCTATTAGGGAACTGAATTAATACTATACACCGTCTTTATACAAAGCCGTAGGGTTTGCCTTGATTAATACCTTAATTATAATTGTATTTTCAGCAAATTTCAACACAATTTACTAGATATCTGATACCAATTTGATACACGACATTAGTCTTAGTATGTGTCGTGTTAATATACTGCCATTCAAGATTTTGCCACCGCTGTTTAGTACAATATTGTAACAGTATTTAAACTGTCAAACACCAAGCGGTCACCGGTGACCGCAACCTATTGTTCTATAATTGTGTCTACAAAACCGGTACTCGACGAGTTAAATCACGAGTTGACTGAAAAGCATTAGGTACACATTATAATCACTATCCTTGCTATTCTCGCAGTTATTGTAATGTCCGATTAACTACATGTTTGATATTAGACCGTGCAACAGCACTGTGATTAAACCTCAACCTTTTTAATTGTGATCGCCAACGTGTTAACCAATGACCGATCAACCTCCAACTAACCAACACAAGTTATTATATTACCCACATTTGTAAACAAACTATCTTCATAATATTATCTTTTATCTTAACCTGTTTAATAAGCATGAAAGTTATGGTAAAGCGCTCATATGTAGAGGAAGATTTTAGTTGCTGGACATGCAACTCTTTTTATTTATCCATATACACTATACAATATACAGGGTGCCTTGCAACTCGACGCGTGTCTATGATGACCGAGAGGCAACGTTGGCGCAACTAGCGACTCCCGTTCAAACCGCTTGATTGTTTTTCCCGCTCACCGCATCATCTCATCGCTCTGGCGCGGCGTAGCCAGCAACTTTTAAGTTCACAAGTAGACTGATAAATATGTATACAACATTGCCTCTCATAATGTCGAACAATGATCGTATAGACATTTAAACTGACCTGAATACACAATTACCCTTGTTATATAACAGAATGACCTAAAAACTGGTAATGTGTAAGTACTCGAGTGCCCAATTTTAGTACAACCATTTTACAAAAGATGGCATTTATGACAATTTTTGCTACGAATGAGTATTTTATGGAATACTAAGCTGCCAGCGACTTTGCCCGCTTCCTCGTAGGATTAAAGTAGCCTATGTGTTATTATAGACCGTAATCTACCCCAGTTCCGAATTTCATCTCGATCCCTTCAGCCGTTTTGACATGATTGAGTAACAAAAACACACACTTTTGCATACACAATATCAGTAGGATAGCCAGCAAACGAGCAGATGGATCAAGCTAGAAATTCAAAATAATATCCAAAATTCTAAAATTTTTATGACAGTGACGAGGAAAGTCTTTTCTTTGAGAAAAAAATTTGTTGATTTTTTTTAAGGTGTAAATATTTTAGTTTTAAATTGTTTATATTTTAAGTTAGAATAAAAAAATTGTAACTATAAGATGAACTGTTGAACTATAGATAAATTCTAATGTAGCACAATTTAAAAAGAAGACACACTCCCAAAATAAGTATCGCACACGCAATAATGACCATTATGCCTATAAATATTGAGATCAAAAGAAGCTACATACAAATGGAGTTATGTCACATACACTTGCATTATACATCAATGTTCTTGACACCAATACTGCAAGAGACGGCAAACTTTCTACTGGACATGTAGGACAGTGTCCTGACATCACACAGTGACTCACATAGAGGGCCAGCAGAAATGGAAGTGGATTACAAAATTGATCTGAAGAGGATGATGTTGATGGAGTAGTGACTGTTGATTGAAATGAAAATGAGGTCAGGAGAGGAAATAGTTGTGATAAACGCCAGTATGTATGAGAAACACCGGTAAACGAGCAGACGGATGACCTGATAGTAAGCAATCGGCGTCGCCCATGGATACCATTACCAGAGGCGTTACAAGTGCATTGCCGGCCTTTAGGGGATTAGGAATATAGTGATTGTTTGACTCGGGGATTGGAGAGATTGTTTCACGTCGTTTCTCTGTGAAGCCGTGGTATCACTTCGTGGTATCATTCGTGCCGAAGTATGGCTCTCCCACACTTGAGTTGAAGATATTTATGTAACATTCGAAAGGTATAGCTTAGTTTTGTTAATATTGTTTAAGTTCTTTTCATTGATTTTAGGACGTTATATAATCAGCTCGTTAATTAATAATGATAATAATAAGTACGGTCAATGAATAGGCATGCTCTGCTTAACGATTAAATAACAAAAGAATCAAGTAGGAAACAGTATCAGCTGAGTACTCCCTTAGTCAGGTCTTAAAATACCCCGCAGAGAATGGGGTAATGACATGCGTATTCTGTTCTGTATTAAAGAACAATACTGAGATAGACATTTTAGTGTTTTATAACAATGAAAAGACTGCTTAGATAACTTTCACTATTTTTAATGAGAATCAAAATACAAATGATGCTGTAAGGCGTTCAATTAGGATCGTTGAGAGATAATTGGGTTAGGTTAGACGAATTTATTCTTAAAACTAACTTCTGCTTCGCACGGGTGCAACATGTATTATACATATAAACCTTCCGAAAGAATCACTCTATCTACTAAAAAAACCACATCAAAATCCGTTTCGTAGTTTTAAAGATCTAAGCATACATAGGGACAGACAGACGGCGGATAGTGACTTTGTTTTATATTATGTAGTGATTATGTACCGGGTAAAATAGGGTGAATAGAATTTGAGGGGTGTATAGAAAGGGTGAATAGATACTATGAAAAATTATCTAAAAGTGACTGTTGCTCGCGACTTCATCTGCGTAGACTATTATTCCTGTTTTGTCCCATGGGAGCATTTAATCAGGATAAAAGTATCCTATCAACTAAGTCAGCCAATATTGCTTGTATATCATTAAAATCCGTTCAGTAGTTTCAGCATTGACGGACAAACTTTTGAACATCAAAACAAAGATACTTCCATTTATAATATAAGTGTGATTATCTACCGGGTAGACTGGGGTGTATAGATACTATGAAGACTATACTGTTGACGTTTCAAAAGTGCCAAATTATGGTTTAATTGAAATAAATGCTTTTGAGTTTGAGTTTGAGTTTGAAGGATTTCCTTATGTCTATTCAACCTCCTTCTGTCTCTGTACATCCCTCGAATGTATTCACTTCGTTTAACGGTATTCATAGTAAGAATGTTTAAGTTCTATGTAATATTTCAATATGCTTTTGTGGCTTGAAGTAAATAAAAAATAAAATAACGATAGTGTTTTAATTGCTAAGTTTTTGTATAAGTTCAACCATGTTTAATGTTTAATTAAAATTAATTGGTTTATTACTTTGCGTAGCGGTCGCTTGATATTATATTTTATTTCAAATATTCATAGTGATTGAATATTCATAATTAAAACCAAATAATGTTGTATTAATAAACTCTAATAATGTCATTGTATTATCAACCGTAAAGTTAACACTATTAAGTCACTTTTGTTAACGCATTTACTTATTTTTATCTCACTTCAATGTCCTGTACTCTATTTGAACAATACTACCTATATCAATAAAATATTGCAAATGGTTGTCCTATTTAAACCAATGAGTTTATATAACACTTTACCAAAACAATTATAGGTACTAAATTATTAATTAAAAATAATTAATAAACAAAATCTTACCTGGATAGAAATTAGCACAAATATCACAGATCTAGATTACGTTCAGTGCACTGTAAGCTGCAGACGAGAGTGGCTTGAACAACTCCAAACAAAGCTTATATAATAACAAAACATAAGAATTGCATAAACCTCTATAATGCTTGGTTCAGACAACGCTACTATTTTGTCGCTCGCAGTGTTCGTTGGCAACTTCGTGTGCGATGAAAGTGTCTAATGTAAACAACCGGCAATTTTGGGTCACCAGATGGAACTAATGTGTTTTAGTATTTTCTTCTGTGTCGTAGGTACGTTTATAAACATACAAGTTCATATACACGTGACATACAGAGCCGAAACAACAATTTGTGGATCACACAAAGTGTTGTTCCGTGTGGGAATTGTTCCCGCGCCACATTGCGCTGTTACCCAGCCACCACACTAATCGTGCAGTCAATCAAAAGTAGAAAGAGGTATTAGAGATTGTACACCACTGCAATTATCAAATATTAAACACTAGCTTATTCAATATTGGAAGAAAAATGAGAGCCACGACGCGTCTTTATTGAACATTTTGTCTATGACCTTTTGCTAATTATAACAAACAATAAATGAATTGGGATTTGTTTATAATTAAGGTAATACTATATTACAATTATAAACAAAATTATTATTTACATTTACTTGGTTTTAACTCGTCGAGCACCGTCAATATAGACACAATTAAAGAACAATAGGTTGCGGTCACCGGTGACCGCTTGGTATTTGACAGTTTAAATAAGATTCGTAAGTTAATTTT